AGGACTTCAGATATGTAATTTTGCTTAATCATTTTTTCCAAGGTTGACACATAATTGCAAAGTGAATACTGATGAAATACAGGGATCAGTGGACTGCAGATTTTACAAACCATTCTTGCTACAGAAAAGGTTTCTTCCGTGTGGACATGTGCTACTCTGTTTCCCTACCCACCCCTTTTTTTTTAGCCATCACTATGAAACTTTTTTTTTCAGTTCAATGCCATCTACTTCATATTCCATATTGTCACCTCGATTAAGCAAACCTTAGTTTTATTCTTTGAAATGCTGTGCTTTCCAACAGCAGCAGACCGCTGGTAGAGTTGTTATAAATGAGAGCCAGCACTGACAGCATCCCATGCTATACAATGACAGTAAGAATAGCTGGAAGAAAAATGAAAACGCTTTTTAATTTTAAAAGCTTCATCCTACAGAGTCAGTGTCTATCAGTGTCTATAGTCTTTTTAAACATACAAAAGAATGCTTACAAAAGCACTATAATGCACATGTAAGTTACTAAAAATTCATTAGTCTTACAACACAGTAACACAGAAACTGAGGCAAAGAGAGCCTTAACCAGTTTCATAATCTGTTCCCCCTTCTCTTGCACTCACTATAACTTTGGTCTTTATAATTGTTTTCTCCCAAACATGAAAACTTAGACCACTCAGAAAAACCTGATTCCCTACAAAGATTTGTAAACATTCATAAAGGGGTAGAGAAGCAGCATTCATAGTTCCTATCCTGAATAAAAAGCAGGTAAGAATTCAGTCAATGATGGGCATGCAGCCTGCCTGTAGTGGGACAACTCAAGAAGCATACACACATACACAGCTCCAATGGAAAAATGTATGGAGCTAGGTATAAGGCAACAACATACAGGCCAAAGAAGCAAACCAAAACCCATCAAAAAACCTCACATACATCAACATGAAAATGGGCTTCATTAGCTCCACTACTCACAAGGGAACTCTCCCACTTAAAATGGGTTTTTAAAAAAATGGGTGTGACACTTCATAATCGTATAGGATAAGTCTCACTAAGCTCGAATGACTGTATCAAGAATGACTGCAGATAATGTTTTCAAATTACCTGCACCTCTTAATTGCTTCTCAGACATTTTTAGTACATTACTGGGGGCTTTTTTTGCCTTTTCCCATTTCATTAAGAGAACTCATTACTTCTGACAAAACGGGGCTGAGGGAAGCAATGCTTGGTAGCTATTATGCTTTGGTATAGACAGTACTAGTTTCCTTCTACTCCAGCTGCCTTTTAATTATAATAAACATTTAATTCTGGATGAGAAGGGTAAATGCAGAGTAAAGAAATGCATAGCAACAAAGACAAATGAAGGAACTGACTTCCTCCTCAAGAGCTAGAGCACTAAGCTTTAACTCGGCTGAGCAACAACCATCAAGAAAAGGAGAAAGGATGCACTTGAAATACATTAACAGCAACAGAGATAAAGGTGTTGGTCAATGGAGAAGAGAATAACTAAGAATAACAAAATTAAAGCTGAATGCTCAATCAAAAATTTAACTTTCCTTTTCTTGCTGTTTTCTACATCTAACTGGCAGAAACATGTTGCCCTGGTAAAACAACTGCATTTCATTATCTTTAAATACTAGTGCTATACATGCTTTTTCCCTCACCATCACTAATAAAAAGCACTAACTAATCAAGAACTAAGAAATTCTCTACCCTGTCACTAACCAACCTCACCAACTATAAATACTGTCAAAAACTTCCAAGTTTTTATGCAGTCATCAATTCAAATGAGCCTAATGTTTAACCTATTTTGATTTGACTTACCAAAAGTGAGTAAGCATTAATACTCTCATTTGAATTAGTGGTCTATAGTGTGCTCTACTCAATTCCTGCCATTAATTTCAGACAGCAGTTAGTTTGGTGGCATGAAGCACTTTTTTTTAGCTCATGGGTGTTATACGAAGTTCCATTATCCTCTATGCATTCACTAATTTTATTGTCAAAGTTTTGTTAGTAATTTTCACCCTAAGATCCAAAATGAAATGTTTGCTATGTTAATGGAAAGGATCATTCCTTGTATCTTTCTTGTTCTCCAGAACTCTCGCTTGTTGTCCAAAATCCATTTTTCAAAAATTCGGCCTGCATTTTTTTAACTTCTCAGTATATTTATTCCAATCTGTTAAATCTGTGTATGCTCATTTTTTAATTTTTTCCCCGTTAAATCAACAACAATATTCTTCTTTACTCTTACTGAAGTCTTCACTGCTCATTAAAGGCATTATAAAGTCAGTTCAGCAAAGTGAGATTATTCATTCTACCCCCATTCTAAACTAGTAATAGGTTTTTTTAACTGGTTCCTCCTCATAATGCCACAGTTTTTAAAGCTTTGGTTGTTATTCTTTACTTCAAGAGGATAATCCAGATTACACGGTTTTGTACACCACTGGCCCTTAAATTAATCTGATTAAGATTTCATCTTTCTGAAGATTTAACTTTGTACCTCACAGGCAGAGACCAACGCAGAAAAATCATGTCCTAACAAAGGCAGGCAATTGAAAAGCTGACAATCCTAAAAAGCAATCCTTATTTTTAGTATTTCTGGGAAAGTTAAAACCAAAAAGCCATAGACCTTTTGCCTGCACAACATGACTCAAACCTGCAATAATGAGAATCAGTAAGTATAAATTCAGGTATCTCAGCAAGACACCAGTCAGATGTGAAACAAAAACATCAATATCATGTCAGAGTATCTGATCCGCTGAACTCACCTTTAGCTACAGTCAGCTTCTAAAGTTCAGGGCAATATTAAAAAAGAAATAAAAATAAATCAATATAGACTGCTGCTAGCAGACCATCAAGGAAGTATTGTCTACCCTTCTTCAGCTGGCTTGTATGAGATTTGCTACTAGAAACTTTCTTACAGTGCAGCTGAAAATGTCACAGGTATGAAAGACAAACAATCTTCTTTCTAAAGCACACTAAGGAAAGGGCTGAACACGAGTCAGACTAGAAGAGTCTCGACCATTCAGTTACACATACTGCAATCAAAGGCTACAAAAATTCTCACGAAAGAAGTTAATCCTTTTCTATACAAATTCTGAACAAATTTTATTCCATTAGCATATTTATATTTAATCTATTTCTGCAATAACAGTGTCTCCTGACCACTTGTCATGCTTAATATCTCCACTTTTTCAGAAATCTCACAGTCCACTTAACAGTTTTGAACTGGCCCTCTGCACTCCACATTGAACTCCAGCTCACACATCACAGCAGCAAGACACTATTATAACAAAAAAGAGCAAATGTATTTTTTCTGTAAATAAGTTAAGGAAAAATCAACTTCTCCAACCATTGTATGATACGGTCAAAAACAAGGACAGCGGTTTTGAGGTAGGGTCAAAAGAAGGGAAACAAATTACAAAAGATGAACCTTTATTATCTGAAGCTTGTTCAACTCAGATCATTTACCCTCAATTTCCAAATATTATTAACAGTATGTAGGGACTGAAAAATTACTTGGGGAAAAAAAAAAAAAAAGCTGAAATATATAACTTTACAGAAGGTAATTTTTACATCAGGAAACTAGCATTCTAGTTGTTTGGAAGAAAGCTATTTTGAAGCTGTGAAACTACATTACTGGGTAGATGACCTTAACTCAGACAAATATGAAAATGACCACTGCTCCGGCTTTTGCACTTCATTACACAATTCTGCTTTTGTGACTGGCAGTATTTTCTTTAAACTATGTGTCTTCTATACAAACAGTGCTTGGAGACATTCAACATGGCTGCCACAACACTTCAAGAGTTGCTTAGGAAAACGTTTAAAGCTTTCATGAGTCTAAGTTTCCTAAAACTGAGAGAAGTGAAACTTTTCTGAATACTTCACACAGAAACAAGTTTGATCCTGATCAAAAAAAAAGCCATTATTTCTTGGAAATATCTGTCGCCAGACCTGAAGCATCTGATCCAGCTGTGCTGAGGGAGCCTGCCAAAACATCCGTAGAAGATCTGGGAGCTGCCGCCAAACCAAGAGACATAAACAAGAATAATTGCCAGGAACAGCACAGCAAGATATTCTGCCCAGGGAAGAAGGCGCCAGCCTTACGGTGATCAGACACACCAGTGCTGAAAACAACATAAAATTCAATCAAAGGTTTCTAGAGACATGGCTCAGGAGTTCAGTTCTTTGTCCAAAATATGTTAAGACAGGAAACGAACTAGACTAGATGAAACAGGACATGTACTTGAGAGAAGCAGTACTACATCACAGCTGGCTCCTGAAAAATCCCGAGGAAACAATGCTATTTACTGGTGGTGGAGAAAGTATTGATAAAGCAATAAAAAGTAACCCTCAACTGTGAACGGCTTCACACTGCAATCTATTGGATGTTGGCAAAACTACATCAAAACTGCTGTTGAAAAGTGATAGTGCTTAACTATTAACTACCTCCTTCTAAACTCTTTGCTATTTAGTGTATTAATACTCTTCAGCAGAAATAACTGGGCTTCATATACACACAAGGAAAAGGTAATCCTTAAAGATTATCTAGTTCCAACGCCCCTCCCATGGGCAGGGACACCTTCCACTAGACCAGGTTGCTCAAAGCCCCACCCAACCTGCCCTTGAACATTTCCAGCAATGGGACAGCCACAACTTCTCTGGGAAACCTGCTACAATGTCTCACCACCCTTAAAGTGAGTAAATCCATAAGTAAAACTCACGTTTTACCTTACCCACTACAAAATTACATAAGTGCCATGAAATGAGAACAATGCCAATGCTTCCAAAGTTTTCTATTTATAGTAAACTTTGAAAACATTTGGTTGATAAAAGAAATGCTGAACATCCATCATACACAACAGCAGCTCATAAAAGCATGTATCTGAGAAAGCCAATGTCACTCAATTCTTGTTTGTGGTTTCCTGAGACCACTGTGAGCACAGACTACTCTGGGTCACAATTTCATACTCTGTCCCATTACTCATAACTTAATTCATCTAGCTAAGAAAGATTTGGTATGCTGCAAAGCCAGGGCAGAAATGAAGGAACACAGGAATGCTTCCCTGCCTCCTCCCACCCACACCAACCTTCCCCTAACTTGACCAGAGCACCTCCTATCTTGTAGGATTTCATTTCCAGCTCCACAATCCCAGTGGAAAAAGCCAGCACTCCAACTGACTATTGACTGACCCAGCCAACGACTGATTTAAGAAAATGCCGTGAAAGGGAGCAGGGCTTGCAAGCTCACTGTGTTGCCATTCTTTCAACCATCAAGCAAGAACACTTGCAGAGAGACATTTCCAGCAGAAATACAAACCTTTCTTCAGAAACTGGCAAATAATAATGCTGTTCAAAACCACAAACTCATAAATAGCTGTCTCCAGCACACACCATTCACAAGAATCACATTTACTTTATAAACCATTGCACACCCATACTGAAGCTGTCAAACTGGATCAGATCAGCTGACTGTAGCCTACTGACCTGAGTAACCAAAGATAATACCATAAACTATGCAAAACTATGTAAAAACTGCTAATATGGAACCACAATCTTTTTTCCTAATTGTGACAGTGACTGCTGCATTAGTATTTAAATATCTTAATTTAGGCAGATTTTACTGAATTCAACAGGGGGACCATTTCACAATCCACAGAAGTTTGATTTTTTATTTTTATTTTTTTAATCTTACAAAGCTTCTCTGATAACACACATAAATGCATTGACACAGTTTGATAATTTTAGATAAATTGCTAATTTATCTAAATTTATGCGGGTTATGAACATGAAGTACTAAAATACCCCTAAGTAAACAGGAATAGCTCCCCCAGTTTTGAAATACTGAAGTCTTACCGAATTTACATACCTTAGAGCATATCTTTAACTGCACAAGAACATACTTTATTGCCTCTGTCTTTTTTAAGTGACTCTAATCTTCATAATCATGCGTCAAATGTATGCATAACGGAGACTGCCATTTATAGCCATGGAAAGGCTTACATTTGGTATCTGTCTGTGCTGTTTGATAGACAATCACTACCATAGCAAGACCTGGGCAAAAAAGGTATCTTACCTTAAGCATTCCTCCAAGAAGTCCATAAAAGGTATGCTGGAGCCCTGAGGCTACTGCTGGCCAGGAAACCTGGCTGCAGCTCCTTGCTAGTGGATAAATTGGTTGCTACCGGCAAGAGCTAAACTGGATAGTGCAAGGTACATCTCACGTGCTAAAGCAGCCCATGTAAGATAAGCAAATCTAAATGCAATCCAGTGATGTACAACTATTAGTATCCTTTTAAAATTATCCAGCAGCAATATCCTATTCCTTATTTGTATATGTGTATATTTCTAATCTTATTTCTACTAATACAAACTATTTAAAAGAAGTTCATTTACTAATATTTTATTAAAGAAAGATAAGAATTATCTGATAGGAAAATGGTATGTAAGCAATGATTGCTTTGCAGTAGTACCACAAACATACTCTTTGGTCAAAAATTCTTAAAAGACATTTTACTAATAAAAATTTTTAAAACTAAACTTGGCCTAAAATAAATCGGTTGAACAGAAAGAATTCTGGAAACATGATAAACAAACCAGTTCATTTATCTCAAAGTTTAGAACAACAGCAAAGCATATATAAGAATAAAATGGTAAGGTAGACTTGGGACTTCTACTGAAATCCCCATGAACAAAGAAACAGACATTTAATTAACCAGTAAACATGAACATTTTTTTACCCTTCACACAACCTACAGAAGATATTCCTGTAGAGTCTATTATACTGAAAAGATTAAAAACTTAGCAAGATTAAAAACTAGCAATCACTAGACTGAAGACAGTTATTCAAGATTTCAGTTATCAAGAGATTATTAAACAAAGCTAGTACTTCGAACAAAAAGAGATTACATTGTAGTTCTGGAGTATAATCTGTACAATTAAGTGCAATTTTACCAAGAAAAAAGTATTCATCATTGATCAACCACGGGTTTTATTTGCATGTTTTTGAGCCATGCTGCGTTAGCTATTGGTTTTAACATAATGCAGACATTTAGACCAATAGGTTTCTTAAGTATAATAATATTTATCAATTTGAGAACTGAAAATATACAGAAGAAATACATCTTATTTTTGTCAAATACAAAGGCAAAAGAAGTTTCTGTGTTCAGAATTCATCATGTACCCATCGGTAAAGCAGCATACCTTTCCTGTTTAAGTGCATATTCCAGCATTTTGATCCTTCGCACTAGATCCTTCTTCAGATTTTCTTGTCCTTTCCTTTCACCTTGAAGAAAGGCAATCTGAGCCTGCAAAAGGAAGTTTTCAATTTAGTATCTGCTTCCTCAAAACCATCCAGCATAACTCTTGATTGTGTGTCTCCCCAAGTTATTCAATGAATTTTAATATTAATTTGTACTGTTTAAAAGAAATTGGCTTAACTGTATTTCATAAACAGTAGACACTTACACAAAGTACTACACACATAACCCTTCTAAACTGCATGTGTATTACAGATAAAAAGAAAAAAAAAAACAAGGCAGCAATTTTAGTTTGTTTGACAGGGTTTATTTCCTCTCTTGACTAACATTCAATAGAGGATAAGGTACTGACAAAATAAGTGTACAAAAAGCCCTCAGCAGATAAAAAACATTTGCCAACAATAAGCAGAAGATGATAAAATATTTCTGCTCACTAACTGAAGTAGTATATAATTAGTGTACTGTTGTATAGATACATGTTAGATACATGATACTAGTCAAAGAACTGAAGTACAGCATGTTCAGCTACAAGAAAAATAAAATGCTCTTCGTAATAGAGTACCAAGCATTAATCGTAATTCCAAAACAGGTGAAAGAAAGCTCTCCAGAAATACTGCAATTAAGAGAGAGAAAAAATGGAAAACAGGAAAAGGTATTTTGGTGAGGGAGATAGGGAGAGAAATGGAATAGAAGTAAATAAAAGTGGAAAAAGACACCTAATCTTTATCAGCTCCCAGCAGAGAGTAAGTATTTAGTTGCCTTTGAAAATCTCCTTCAAATAGAAAATTATTATATATAAAAGATATCTATTCCTGATCATAATGGCTGAACTGTGTCCTTTTGTATCTCATGCTCAAATCAAGTCCATTATAAGAGTCAGGTCCTTGTGCTCTCTCAACTCATGAATACACTCACAGATCAGACAAAATGAATTTTACTCCAAAAGGCCATTTGCTGGTGGCCAGTTATAGCAGCTGCTCTAAAATATGACACAAGCTGACATAATTCCGTTGCTCAAGTACAGCCAGTAAACAGCCTGACAGACACCTGAAGAATCCTTAACCACCAGTCAGCAACTAGAGCAGCCAGACTATGAGGAGTGAAAAACACTGGCTACTCTCCAACAAGCTGGTCTTCACCTTCAATTAGGGAAATGCATTTGCCAAGAAACTCTCAGCTGAATCAAAAGGTCTCTGTCACTCTGGCTTCAAGCTTCTCCTCACTTAACGCTCAAACTGGGATGGGCAAAGAACTACAACTGAATCTAACGTTCATCTTCTGCTTAGATTTAGAGGAAGGCACAGAAGACAAGACATGCTGGCACTGGCAGTCAGCACTTCCCACCCTGAAGAACGTAACTGTGCAAGAAGCATGTCAACTCAACAAGGTCACCATTCCTTTCAATAACAAGAGGAACACCCCAATCACATACAACTTAGTTTGCAGTAACTCTACAGACACACAAATTATAATGCATATATAACTAGTGCACTGTGGTAGTGATTCCTGCCTCCCTTGCCTCCAAATAGGCTCAGAAGAAATAAACCCATGGCCTTCTAGCCAAAAAATGAGAGAACATCAAAGTACACAACTAAAAATAGTAGAACATGATGTAAATATGCATTTGGCCGGAACATAAAAGATCATCCAATGCCATCAGGTCACAAGCTGAAGTAAGTGACCTGTGAGGTGACCTGCTGCCTGTCTCGCTAAGAACAAACTGACTGAACAGGCTGGAATGAAGCATGTTTACCCATCAGGCTGGCAAACGACAGCCAGTAACGGCCTGGCTCATGCGCTGCTCTACCTCAGAGGTTAAACCAGCATCACCATGCTAACAACTGAAGTTAAAGTCATCTTCCACCAGTAGCAGCCTAAACAAAGGAAAAAAAAAATACAACTTCTCAATAGTTTTCACAGCTTACTTTTGTGAAAGGACAGACATGAATGTATTTGATTAAGAAATACCATACGACACCGCCTTTATGTGAAAATGAGCAGAGTCAGCTTCCAGTACAAGGCAGGCCTGGCTCCGTGACTTATCTGACTAACCATTCGAGAACCAAAGTTCAAAATGTCACCTGAAGCTTCTTAAGCACCTAAAATAACATAAATTATGTTCTTAACTCTACCTCTGGAGCTGAAACACCTTATGATTCAACATGAAGGAAAATGGGCTACCAAAAGGCTGTATGTATTATACATATATTGCACAGGAAGGAGAGCACCGGAAGAAATATTGTCTCTTTGGACATCTTTTATTGTCAGTGGTATGCCACTGCTCTTACTGATGCCGTATAACTTCTCTTTTTCCTGGACTTCCAAGAAATCCTTGTGTTTCTTACTCCAAAAGCACACAGCAACAGAGTGGAATCCACAGCCCAAGAGCTATCTCTGCAGCCCTACACAAGGTTGTTGCCAGGATCTTTCAAGATTACTATATGATTCATAGATCAGTAGTTTTACTGGCAAATCAAGAAACAGACAAGTGCACCAGAGGGCTTGTGAGTAATTTTGCTCTCTTCTTGGAGGCTGCGCAGTTTCTAGCATAGCTTGCTAACGCTTTTCTTCTGAGTAGCATTCTTACGTAATAAGGACATAAAAAATAATACTCATTGTTTTTGAGAAATTCTGGCTCTGAAAATGAGAATGCTTACATTTTCATAATAAAAGGGAGAATATCCCCCCCTCTTTCCCACAGAATATTAGCAACCCTTATTCCTCATTTATATAAATACTGGGTAATTACAACTAACTCAGCATCAGTTATATATAAGCTCAAATTTTATTTAAGAAACTTTCAATAATATTCAGGTTTATTTGTAATGCACGTCAGGAAAACATTAAAATAATAACTGAAATTTCATACTAACAACAATACTGTAACAGTCCATATGTCATAAGCAGATTTCATTCTTTACAATGTTTGGCATTTAACTGAAAATATGCAAAGAAAACTAAATGCTCATACCATATAAGAAAAAAAAAAGTAGTATAAATGAAAACTGAATAAATAAATACACTGAGTTTAAATATTTAAAATGACAGATTGAGAAAATACTGCTAGATTCATAGTCTCTAGAACAAAACAGTTGTAACTCCAGGATCACTATTTAGTCAACACCTGTCTAAATGTCTGGGCAAACATTTAAAGTGTAAGAGATCTAGGTTTAAACACAATGAAAGATAAAACTTAACTGTACAACTACAGTCTTCTTACAATTCGGACATAAATGGCAGAATTTTATCAACAGATTGAGATTCCATGAGCCATTTCCCACAGCTGCAGCTTTAGCACAAGTCAAATCCGAAGTATGCACTACCTGAGAGAGTAGGATACCAGAGGAGGATCGCTTCTGGTTGGAACAATCTGCAGCACTGTTCTGTCCCTGTGCTTTGGCCACTCCTGGGCAGGTTTGCCAAAAATCTCAAGAATTCACTAACAGGTTCTGCCACAACTGACCTCCTAGCTAATAAGGTTAAAATGCATCAAGCTGTAAGCTAGTCATCGCAACCCTCTAAATTGCCTACTGGGATCATGTAAAAACTCATATTGTTCCTGGCCTTATGGGTGGGGCACATCTGCTCCATCAAGTGCCTGTCCCCGCCAGCGTTGCAGCGAGGAGTCAAGGCAGCATCCACCTTTAGCTTATTCCAGGTTAAGTGCTACAAGATACTGTATTACAGCTCAACTGTGAGATTAAAATCAAGAGTCAGGAGGGAAAATAAATACAAAAATTAAGAACCAGAAAATAGTGGGAAGAGATGCCTGGAACAGTCTCTTGTAGCTACAATGGTGCAGGCCAGGATTTTTTTTTCCCCCCCACTTTCTCTCATTAAAGTTTTTTAATTGCAACAAAAACTTTCTTTGCCAACTGTATACTGGGCTAAATCAAATGACCAGCAGGTCAAAGGAGGTGATCCTGCCCCTCTACTCTGCTCTTGTGAGCCCTCACTTGGAGTATTGTGTACAGTTCTGGAGTCCTCAACATAAGAAGGACATGGAGCTGTTGGAGCAAGTCCAGAGGAGGGCCACGAGGATGATCAGGGGGCTGGAGCACCTCCCATATGAAGACAGGCTGAGAGAGGTGGGGCTATTCAGCCTAGAGAAGAGAAGGATGCGTGGAGACCTCATACAAGCCTTGTAGTATCTGAATGGGGCCTTTAAAGATGCTGGAGAGGGACTCTTCATTAGGGACTGTAGTGATAGGACAAGGGATAATGGCTTCAAACTTAAACAGGGGAAGCTGATCAACAGAGGAAGCAGATATGAGGAAGAAGTTATTTACTGTGAGGGTGGTGAGGCACTGGAATGGGTTACCCAAGGAAGTTGTGAATGCTCTGTCTCTTGCAGTGTTCAAGGCCAAGTTGGACAGAGCCTTGGGTGACATGGTCTAGTGGGAGGTGTCCCTGCCCATGGCAGGGGGGTTAGAACTAGATGATCTTAAGGTCCTTTCCAGCCCTAACTATTCTATGATCCTATAAACTTAGAAGTTTCATGCACATACAGTCTAAAGTTATAGCACTGCAGCTATCTTAACCATTCCTTTTCTTTACCAAGAGATTTTAAAAATAACATTCGTTCTTATGTTAAAAATATTCTCACAGGCAACAACGTTTTTGTTTTATGAAATTCCCCAAAAGATTCTAAAGTCACATCACGGTGAAGTGGACAAAAGGGTTAGGAAACTTTTAGGCAGCACATAAATATCTACCTTGAACAGAAAATGTCTAGAAAGAAACAATACTATGGCCGCTAAAGTATCAACTTCTAGCAGCTCCTGAATTTTACAGCCATTTTAAGTTAAAAGGTTATTTATTCTTAAGACTCAAGAACTAATATAAGCCTTTCCATTCTCTAAAATATTTATCTTAATATTTTAAAGGAAACCTCACTTCAAATTTATGGGCACTTGAAGGTCCACAGGTATCATTTGACAAAGTAAGAGCTGTTAAGACACACAATTCAGTATATTCTACTTCTGTAATTCAACAAGGTCTTCACAGGTTGAAAGAAAAAGAATAAGGGAGGAAAAAACTGCAAAAAAAAAAA